CTTTTTATTCTCCAATTTCAACTTACTGCACATTTCATTATAATACTTAGCTATTTTTACAGTAATGCTTTTATGCTGTATTTGTCTTTATGAGATTTAATAGTTCACTCAGCAAAATGCTCTCTAAATAAGCCTTTGATATGTAGTTTTTTTACAAAATCATTACTTCTTAGTGCTGCATTCATTAAATTCTACTGTGTGAATGTACTGTAATTTCTCAATCCATTTTTTGGTTGGTGGATATTTGGGCTGTTTTCATTTTCTTGCTATTATAAATAAGGTTGTTATGAACATAAGTATACTATTCTCTGTTAGTGTCTCAGTTCCATTTTCCTTAAGGTATAGTACCAGCAGCATAATTGCTGTGTCATATGGAATTTCTATGTTCAGCTTTTTGAGGAACTGTCAAGATGCCTGGCAGAAAGGTTGTACCATATTACCATCCCACCAGCAGTGCATGAGAGTTCCAGTCTCTCCACAACCTCTCCAACATTTCTTGCGTGTTGTCTTAACTTTGCTATTACTGCTGGAGTGGTATACTACCTCACTGTGGTTTTGATTTGCATCTCTTTTACTGCTGGTGATTTGGAGCATGTAAATGTAAATATGCTTGACTTTCCCCAACATTTGGCTTACTTTGTATATATTTCCAAACTTCTATGTTACCCGCCAAAGTCTAGTTTAAAGTGAACATTGATGTGTTTTTCATATCATCAGTGCACTGCAACCATACAGTAATTACAGTCATTATCTTAAAATCACTGGAGTTGGTTTTCTGTGCACCTGACTAGCTTGTAAATGAGTTATAACCCAGCACTTGTCCTTACAGAGGAGTTATTCATTGATAGTTTTGTGAATCTAAACCAAGAGTCATTTATGTACTTATCTGTTACATTTTGTCCAACTCCAGAGTTTCTAGTTCTAAAAATGTTTTAGATCAAAAATCATCTCTCACATATTCTAAACTGTAAATTGTTAACATCTTTACTCATCCCTAATTTAAGGGCTGGCTCATCTTCAAAACTACTACCTAAAATACTCCTGGCCTGAAAATAATCTGAGCTCACTGCAATGATAAGATAGGGACCCTTTCAGCCTTGCAGGAATACTAGGGAGAAATCTTCATCTGAAATGCTACCCTTGCCACTTGTTTTATGACTTTCAAATATGTGCACACTCAGTTACTACTTAACTGTCTTAATCTCAGTTTTGACTTATGGTGACTCTCCATTGGGTTCCAGAAGCTAGAAATCTTAACAGGACGATACTTCCCATGTTTCCCTTGAGAAGTGCCTGGTGGATTTGAACCAGTGGAAACGTGATCTTTGGTTAGCAGAACAGCATGCTATAGACTATGCTATCAGAGCTCTTTACACTCAGTTAACTAATGCATTGCTGCCAAATCAGAACCTCTGCATACCTGACTCTTCATTGGGTTTCAGGCCTTAAATCATAAGGGAAGAGAGTGTTCATTTTACTCCTGCAGAACCACTGAGGGTTTGTACTGCCAGAGAGGTGGGACCTTTGTGTTAGCAGCATAATTCCCAAAGTGCTATGACCCAGAGCTTCCTTACACTCAGTAGGGCAAAATACAGTTCCAGATTCTCCTTAAGAAATATCCACGTGTAAGGGATAGACCACTCTTATCCTTTCAGCTGGTCCAAAGGCCTGTTGAAAGAAGCTATTTTGAACTCTGATGGCCTAGTGGGAAGAAGCTGCATTGCAATCCCAAAGCCATATGGTTCAAATCCACCACTTGCTCCATGCAAATTATTGCCATTGTTGTTGTGTGCCACTGAGTTGGAACCAACCCATAGTTGACCTTCCAGTGGATTTTCAGAGGTAGTAAATAAATCACACAGAAGGAGATTGCCCATCCTTCTCCCACAAAGCAAATGGTGGATTTGAACTGTATACCTTTAGGATTGCAGCAAAGATTCTTTCCATTTACTGCCTCCAGAAACCTGCTGGAGGGACAGCTAGGTCTGGGTCCACAGGAAACAACATTAACGTATTTGAGTAAGACTATTTTCCAAATGTTAGGTTATTGGTAATGCTAAGCCATTTAAAAAAATGTATAAAATCTGAGTCTGTTCTTTGATCTGTAATTTTAAAGTTAGGAAATGTGTCTTCTGAGCTATAAAGGTTTGTAATGTGATGCTCTACCAGCCAGTGCCTGCTGGAAGAACCAGCAAGCCCAGTGGACATGGGACACATAGGATTTACTTTTTGTTCACAGGAAGCTCAAGAATGGTCCTCATGTCTATAAAGTCCCCAAAACATACTTCTCAGGCCCGGGCTGACGGGGTCCTGCAACTAGATTCCCATCTATGTTCTTTTTCATAAACTTTCAATCCTGACCTTGCTTCTTTTTCTTCTCTAAAGTAGCCAACTTTATCCATACTTCTTACGACTCCTTTTCCTCCAGTCACTGCTGCAGAGTCCTTTGTGGTCAGGGTCAGCACCTGGAGACAAATCTTACAGACAAATTAACCAGAAGGTTCATTCTGTGGGAGACTGTAACTGGGGAAATCACTGCTTCCTCATCTTTAAATGGAATATAATGGTAGCTAACGAGTATCTATAAAGAACAGGTGAGCCTCTGAAAAGTCCTCACCATAAAGCATGGCACATGGGTTTTCATTTACTTGACTTTTCCACGGGGTTTCCAAAGCGATATTCTTTCCAAAGTGTCCCACCAGGCCTTTCTCCCCAGCCACCTCAAGCTGGCAACATTTCATTTAATAGTCAGTTGTTTAACAGCTTGCGCTAACCAAGGTTCTCATGGGATGTGCTAAATGTCAATGTTGCTGTTATTGTCAAGTCAGAACCAACTCATAGCTCACCTTCCAGTTGGTTATCAGAGGCTGTAAATTACAGAGGAGGAGATTTTCTGTCTTTGTGCCATGAAGCCACGGGTAGATTCGAGCTGGCTGCCTTTGGATTGGAAGCACAACTTTTTTACCCATTAGGCCAATGGAGGCACAGTCCAAATTCAGTTGTTTTTCTTTAATGGAGCTACATTAATATAACGCCAACAGCCTTTGCCTTTAGTCAAGCCTCTGTGGGTGGCCAGTGTGTTGCTGTCATTGTATATCTGAGAAGAAATTCTTTTGCCTGTTCCATGTGATGAGGTGACAGGACATAGCAAAAGTTCTGTTTAATACACAAAGATGACATCTTTTGAGAGTCTGTAATAATTTTACTGTCATTCCTACTTCTTAGTTCTGTAAGAAGCAGATATACCCGTGAATGAACATTTTAAATTACTTAAAGTACCACTCTCTCTACATTTGTTTTCTATAAACACAGATAAGTGCAAGGAATGTTCTTTTCTTTTAAATTGCTGTTTGCTGCCAGGAAGCTACATTAAATATTTTTACTTCTTTGCACATTCCTTTTGTTCTTGGTTAGGTATGTATTCTATGTACAGCATATAAGCAACTATTGTTCAAGGCTCTTAAAATATAAGTACACTCTTCCACTCCATTACAATAAATCCTTTCCAGCAATCTTAGAGCTTGGGTATTTGGGACAACTCTAATTTTGTGAACAGTTGCATAAAAAGTCAATGTAATGTTAATGGTTTCAACATACCTCTCGATTTTCATGCATAAATATTGGACTTGTGCTTTTAAGAAAAGAAAAAAAAAAACCCTACAAAATCTAAGTTGCCTGGAGTTCCAGTTTGCAGTGAGAAAACTCCACATTTAACCTTTTCCTCTTATTATGTTAAGGCTCGGACTCATCTCCAAACAAACGTACGGCTGAGGTGATGTTTTGGAATAACATCCTGTGTTTTGGTGGAGCATCACTCTTCAGTGACATTCAGAGGTTGCATTGTATTAGCACATGATATTTTAACCAGTTAATTGATATCCCAGGTTTGTCCAGGGGAAAATCTACAGCTCCCCCAAACATGCTTGACAAGTTATTATATTTACTTTAGTCAAAGCCCGTGTGTGCAATATCCCTCTTGGAGGTGGTCTATTATTGGAGTCCCATATGCTTTTTGTTTGGGAAGAAAGCAGTCACTGTGTCATACTGTTACATAGAGTATTCTTTTTCAGGGATGTTGTTCCCTTGGGGACCATATTAGGCCAGAGTTCCTTAGTCTAATAAGACCTTTGTAACTCTTATTGTATAAAAGTTCTGGGAGGGAAGCAAGAGTTAAACAGAAAATGTAATTCAAGCGGCCATATTAGGCCACATGTGGGAAAACATGACTCTTACTATTGGATTTAAAAATACTATTTCTTGTAAAAAGCACTGTGATGCCATAACGTTCAGGGGACTTCTGTGTAAATGAAGGCTATTGTGGCAGAAGGAAGTCAGTATTTGGACGTTTTCTCTACTTTCTGAATACAAATGATTTGAAAAAAAGATAACACAGATTTGTCTATTCATAAAATGTACATTAAAAAGAAAACATTATTATGCAGGCCTTATATAGTGACAACTGAAGATTTTCTTGTGTGACATTTATAATCAGTAAAATGATGTGCAAGTTGTGAAACAATGACATGATAACATTCATATATATGTCTACATGTTTTATCACATGCTTATGCAAATCAAGTATTTGCACTAATTATTCAATTATTAATAATTGAATTCAATTATTAATTAATTATTCAATTATATCAGAATTACTCAATGTGGCCATTATGCCTTTCCCAATAGATTATAAATAGCAAATAATCAGTTGAAAATGCTATTTGAAAAGTAAACTTCACAAAAATAAGCTTCAAAGTTCTTCCTCATGTCTTTATGATGATGCCTGTTTTAAGAAGGTGTTTCTCTTTTTTTTTTTTTTTTTTAGTGTTTCTCTTTTTGTATCTAACTTTTGAATACAGAAATTCTAAAATAAATGCTTAACCAACTCCATAGTTCTCCATAACTTTACTTTTCTATAACTGTGATCATAATTAACTTGTTCTCTGAAATGTAAAATTTTGTGATGCTGTGAGCCTCTCATTTTTTTTTCTTTTCTTCTTCAGCAGTTGGTTTCACAACAACGCATTCTAATTCACGAAGATTCCATGAACCTCCTAAGTCTTTATACCTCCCCCTCGCTGCCCAACATCACCCTGGGACTTCCAGCAGTGCCATCCCAGCTGAATGTAAGTCATCCATCCATCTCACTTGATACCAGCCTGAGCAATATTTGTGCAGGAGGAACAACCTTTCATTTCTGAGATACTGTAATTTGGGAAAAACTTGGCTTAGTAAACTCTCCCTTTGCTCTGCTGAGCTCTTCAAATGATTGCTTTAGACGGTGTTGAGTAGGCTCCAATTCCTAGGAGCCCTGTGTACAACAGAATAAAGCCCTGCTCAATCCCACAGCCTGTTCACAATCTCTGCTGTGCTTATTATTAGCCCATTGTTGCAATCATTGTGTCAGTCCTTCACTTTGAGAATGTTCTTTTTCACTGATCCTCACTTTTCAACTATGATATCCTTCTCTAGGGTCAGACCCCTCCTGATAACAAGTAAAAAGTGTGCAAAATGAAGTCACAGTCTTTGCTTCTAAGTACCATACTGACTATACTCCCTCCAAGGTTTTTTTTTTTCATTGTTGTTGTTCTTTTAGCAAACCTTCATTTAGTTGATATCTGTTCCAGGACCACAATTCAACTGGTATTGGTTCTTCTTTTATCTTCTTACTCACAGTCTAACTTTCACATGCCTGTGAAGTGAAGCAATATTACTCTTTAAAATGTCCTTCCTGTTCTTTAGCGTTTTAAAGAGGTCTTTGGCAGTAGATTTACTCTTTTTAATGCCCAATTTGATTTCTTGTCTGCTACTACCAGGGCTGTTGATTGTGGATCCAAGTTAACAAAATCCTTGTCAACGTCAGTCTTTTCTCAGTTCTTCAGGATGTTTTTGCTCTAGTGATGAGGATTGATGATATTGTTTATAGATCCACTTGAGAATTTGTGTTCAAGTTGTGCATTGTAATTTCATTTAGAAGAATTGTGAAAATCAGCATAATAACATAAGAATGGCAACTAATATTTGTATAATACTTTATTGTTGGTGTCATCAGGCAAATTCTTCCACATTGGGCTTCCGTGTGACAAAACAAGACTTTCCTGTATGTCTGTATGTTTGGGTTTGGGGTTTTTGTACTATATTTTTATGGAGCCAGGTTGCCAAGTAGAATTTGTATCACTAAAATCACTAAGCCACTGGGTTGATTCCAGTTGCCATACCTTGAGTTATTAGCTGAAATTTATTCATAATTAGAAGACTCAATCATTGTACCACTACTGCCCTTTGTAGCATGCTGTAGAGCTTAGATGCATTCTTCAGATTCACCCTTCAGTATGTTGTCATCTTAGAGGTACCATACAACCACTCTTTGCAACAAAGATTACTACATTTACTGAAGTTGAGACCTAACAATGTTAAAAGTCCAAGTTCAAAGATCTACTAAGTAGCAGTCCTGGAATTCAACCCAGACCAGTGCTGGGAGGCGTACCTTCTAAGGCACAGCTGCATGTTTATAAGATTTCTTTTTGAATGACCTTATTGGGGGAATTTAAGTTACTGATTCTATGCTACTGAAGGAATTTCTGCAGAAATTCCCTAAGCACAAAATTAAACTATGCCCAAGAGATGCTATGTAAATCAATTAGTATAAAAGCCTTGACAAACTGAAATGGGATCTTTTCGAGGTAGCTTTTCTACTAGCCAAAGATAGCTTTAAGTAGTTATATTTATTTTATACTTATTCCCTAAAATAAGCTTTGGTTACTGTAAAAGATTTGTGAGTTTTACCAAGAAGATTTAATCTGTGAAATATTAGTAAATTAAAGTATACTTTAAATAGATTTCATGTGATACATTTTTGCTTAAAGAGAAATTGAGGGGGAAAAATTCAAATGGAAAAGATTATCAGTTCCCCCAGTGCTTAGCCGCCAGTGTTCCAGTTACTAGCATGGTAGACTCATATATTCTACAATATTTCCTGTACCAGAGAACATCCTTAACAATTGGCCATTTTGTCTTTAATTCTCTTTTCAGCATAGAAGGCAGGCAAGGAGTATGCTGGTTTATACACAAGCTTTCACCTATCATGGCATTTTTATATTCCACATTTTATAATTCTATCAGTTCATATTATAAAATTAATCTGAGATATTTTATTCTGTTTGATGTTTTTAATTGTGAAGAATGTTACCTCTTGTGGGGAATATAAGAGAAATGTTTCAAAATCTAGATGCTCTGCCCTTGAAATTTCACATAAACCATATAAACAAGCAGTTCATATAGTGGAAAAAATAGACATAAAACTAAGTAGTCATGGATAATGTTTTAATATCCTCACTAATTAAAAGTTCTACTTTTATTTTTTATTATTCTTCCTATCTCATCTGATAATAAGTAAACACTAACAACAACCACAAATTTTGGATGACACTTGAGAAGTTATTTTATTACAATTACTTTTGTATATGTTCAAAGGAGCTCATCCTGTCTAATGCACACATATACCACTTTTAATGTGGTCAGAGTGAATTTTTCCCCAAAGGACCAAGTACTAAAGCCAGATCACTTAATGTTTCAATAGTTCTGTGATTTGGTACCATCGGCTGAATAAACCACTGTGGTTTGGAGTGGAGTCTCATTTCTCTTTGCTTCCTTTTTGGTATGGATGAGGCCATCACAATTAATTTTTCAAGCTTAGCCTGGTTTGGCAAAGGGATGGCTAATATTCCATTTCCCCACTGAATAGTGGGAAATTTTAAGGAAAAGAGGCCAGGAAGAGGAATCCTATCTAGATTAAACATTGCATTGACTTGCTCTGTGACTCAGACACACCATTACCTCTTTGTCCTGCAATTTCTCCATCACTAAAAATTGCTTTGCTTCCCTAGTGCACAGCAATTTTGAAAGATGAAATGTGAGTTTTGAGAAGAAACATGCCATATAATTTTGCAGTATTAAACTTCTGCTTTTGCTGTACTAAAATGACCACCATTCATTAAATCATTTCAGTAGTGTAATTCATTATTACTACTGATGATATAATTATTATTGCCTTATTACTTTGTTATCATACAGTTTAAGTTCTTAATAGCATTTTTATTTGATATCTGATTTCACTTTAGTTTGCTTTATTTTTAAAAAAGTACCTGCAATGTCATTTTTAATATTCAGAGACCTGAGGATCTGTTACAAATTAATGTAAAATGCATGTTTAAATCAAATCCCTGCATTATTCTTTTTTACATCTTTCAGTGAGTTATTTAAATAACTATGTTTTAAAAATTAAAATTGGAACCTTACAGCTCTGTGAACTTACTTGAGGAAATATATATAAAATGTTCCTTTTGTTTGAAACTTCAAAAGTACAGATCATTAAAATGATGGTCTAGAAATCCTTAAGTCACAGAGGTCACTATGACTCTGATTTGTCTCCAAAGTACCAATAGCAACAACAAATCCTTATGATATTGTCTTGAGTTTAGCTATTCAAATAAATTTTTCTTCAACCTAACTTTGGCTTAAGCAGTATGCTTAAATGTATTATTAATAACCAACTTCACATTGTTCAATGCAGAAATAAACCATATTTTTAATGTTAAGTTTTAAATATACTTAAGTCAGCATGATGTCCCGTGCTGAATTCTCACCAGTGCTTAATCACCAGTGTTTGTAGTTCTTCTTTGTTAGTTGGGTTCATTGCTGTTATCCATTTTACCCATTTCTTCATCTGGTAAAAATGAGGGTTTTGTTTTGGAAAATTACAGCATAAGAAACTCATCTAATGACGTGAAGACCTAATGGTGCACAAGGACAAAGGAAAATTAACATCTTAATTGTTTCTTGCACAGGCTTCCAATTCACTCAAAGAAAAACAGAAGTGTGAGACCCAGACGCTCAGACAAGGTGTTCCTCTGCCGGGCCAGTATGGGGGCAGCTTGCCAGCCTCCTCAAGTCACCCCCACATCGCGTTAGAGGGAAAGCCCAACAGCAGTCACCAAGCTCTGCTGCAGCATCTATTGTTGAAAGAGCAAATGAGGCAGCAAAAGCTTCTCGTTGCTGGTAATTAGTGACGCCATCATTTCCAGGTCATGTAGGGGCTTTTCTTTCATCAGAGGCCCAATGTAAATAGCCTCTTTAACCTAAAAAACTGAGTAAAGATGTGCAGTGTCATACAAGGATCTTCCCATACCTAATACTTGTGAGAAAGACTAGTTTACTTAACCTTCATACACATTAGAATGAACCACTGTTGAAGCGTAGGGTCAGTTTCAACAAGTTAGACTTCTCTCCACCCAACCTAACTTTCTAATGTTTATGTAATAATATTATTACTTTTCATGAAATATATCTATCATATATCTGTAGCTTTTTGTCTTAATAATTCTATGTGTGTGTATATACATGCACGCATATGCATATGTGTGTGTGTATAAATATATGTGTATGTTTTGTCTTTTCCAGGTGGTGTTCCCTTACATACTCAATCTCCCTTAGCAACAAAGGAGAGAATCTCACCAGGCATCCGTGGTACCCACAAACTGCCCCGTCACAGACCCCTGAATCGGACCCAGTCTGCACCTTTGCCTCAAAGCACTTTGGCTCAGCTGGTCATTCAGCAACAACATCAGCAATTCCTGGAGAAGCAGAAGCAATACCAGCAGCAGATCCACATGAACAAAGTAAGCCCCAGGCCCTGTCAAAATGTCATTACCACTGGTGTGGAAACCATTATATTTATGAGGTGGTGTTGCCAAGTTGAGATGATACATCAGTAAGACCTTTAATGGTTGAATACCTATTTTCATTTGCAAAAGTATATGCATAAAGGCCCATCTTTAAATAATGTAGAAAAGCTTTGAGATACAGTTGAGCATGGACTACTTGTCAAAATTTTCCAAAGGTACAGGAAGAGATGGCAAGGTTAGTTAATAAAGCATTTTGCAGTGGCTTGTATCCAGCCATATTTTATTTATTGTTTGGTATCTATCTCTACATTACTCCAAAAAGTGTTTGAAGTAGTTTCTCAGAAACTGTTATAATTCCCGGCAACCGTGTTATGACTGAAATGATGGCAGATACCACTACCACACCACAGCCTTAGGAATTCCCCTGGTGAGGTTACCACAAAGAAACAGTGATATAACGAAAGCAGACAAGACAGTAAAGCATTTTCAGTGAATATATATATGAGATTAAGGAGCTTTAGGGAACCTGATGTACAGTTTTGCCACCACTTTTTACTGTGATAGGCTTGCAATAGCAGAATCTTCTCATTTCTAGAATGTTAAAGTCCTGAGTGTAACAATCCCTCTGCTTTGTATTCTGTTACCTGCATACACACACACACACACACACACACACACATTGTTGTCATGTGCCATCAAGTCACCCATGATTCCTATCAGAGTGATCCTAAGTACAATAGCTCTGAGCTCTGCCCTATCCTAAGCCGGTCTCACTCTTTCCAACCCACCTACCTCCATCACAGCAGTAGTTACTGTGTCAACTCATCTCATCCTATTCTCCTGTGCTCTCGTCCCTCCACTCTTCCAAGCATATAAAGTCATAGGAACCATGAGAAACAATGTCTTTCCTACAGACTGAAGAGCAGCTAAAATTTACTTAGACATTCAAATGTTTATTATATTGCCACTTACAAAAACAAATGAAAAGAATTTCATGGGCCAAATGTTTACATTTAGGGTACCTCTAAGCTATTTATATCATCCTATCCCACATCACACCTTACTGCAGGTAGGACTGTATATTTGCTGCTTTTTTTTGGCTTCCATATTCAAGATCAGACAATGAAAAGAGTATGAGCTAAACAGCCATCACTACTCAGCACTATTCAAGAAATCAACTTTAACCTTGTCCCCATGAATTGCAGATACATTAAATGCCATCAAGTTAGCATCTATTCTGTTGCTATCCTATTTCTCTAAATTTCTCAGGAATGTTTAAGCATATTAGCCATCAGGGAAGAACAAACTTTCATTTCTATATAGTTACATAATGTCCTTGACTTGATAATCACTGTATATATACTTGCTATAGTGTGTGGTACGTTAGGTATCGTTGTTTCTTTTATGGTCTGTTCATACAGCTTAAACCTACCAGGTATGCTTTAAAAAAAATGTCCAACATCCATTTAGTTAAATTTATGCTGAAGACTGGAAATCTTAATTTTTTACTTCATAATGTATTGGTCTGGATTCAGGTTCATTTATACAATTAGTAGTGGATTGTAGGTGCACTTTCTGTTCTTGGTTCTCTTTCCTAGAAATTTGCAAATGTGTGTGTTCTGCAAAGTATGGGGGAATGAATTTCTTTGTATTCATCATCTACAAATGATTGTAGATTGAAAGATATGGTAATTAAATGTTTGGAAGGACTATTTTTTTTTTACTTAGTGTTGCCAGAGTTTCAGAATCAGATGGTGTGCTAATAATCAGAATATTTTTTTTTAATCACACATGATATTTTGACAAGCAGATGCTAACCCCAGTCACATGGGAGAAACTGAGATGAAAAGCAGGCATTTGCATTTTAGCAATGAGAAAAGCAAATCTTATCGGAGACCTTCACTCATGTGGAGCTGATTCCTCGGAATCTGTTAAGAATTCTCCCTTAAAATTAGAAACAAACCTGTACTTTTAGGTACATGTTTGTACAGTGGTTTGATTATTAAATCTTGTCTTAATTAGACAAAATGAAGACCAGAAAACTTCAAAGTATGGCGCTGATCTTTATATGTTAACCTCTCTCAGCTTGGGTGTTTAGATTACTCAACTAGGTCTCCACTTGGCTTTTCTCCAAGTATGGATTCCATATGTTTAATCAAGATGGCATATGCGCATTGGGTATTCTCTGGATTTTAAAAATATTTCACCTGCCATCACAGGTCTCAGAGAACAGAGATGAATTTTATTAAAGAAAATATTGAGTCTCTGACCTATTCCAAAGGCTTCACAATAGAGACATCAAAAAGTGAATGAAAATGAGTTGCTACTGTTCAGCCAGCTCCATACGTGGGGAGATGAGGGCGTTTATTTCACAATCACAGTCACGTTTATTTCAGGGTCACAGTCATGGCTTAGGTATCAAAAATTAACAAGATTCTGTATAAAACAGTGAGACAGGGCTCAACTGAACAGTCTTGTTTTTCTAGGTCTTACAGATTTTCATCTTAAATTTTCATCTTAATTTTCATCTTACTCCTTTACTAGCTCTGGGGGTTTTTTTGTGTAAATACTTGAGGTTTTCTTCTCTGATGAGGTTCTGCCTTACATAGTTTCCAAGCTATTGGAGGTTTCAGTGTACCATCTAGGATTGTTAACATACATGTTAAGTGAGAAACAACCACAGAAACTATCATTTTGTTCATTTTCCAGTTTCAATGGATAAATCTTACTGAATCCACTGACTGCTGCCAAATAGGTGACGTCACAAAAACAGATTACTTTTTTCTTGAGATATTTACTGTAAGAGGGAAACAGGCATATATCATGACAAAGCTGTACAAATGATATTTAAAATTCCTTTTTATTTTCTTTCAAAGTTTTTTATTATTCTTTTTTGAGGACTAAAAAAAGAATATAATTTATTTCTAACATCTTATGTTAGACAATTATGATTGACTTTTCTGGTATAAAATTTGTATTGATACATCTGCATTGCTAATTACCTTTAGAAGAACTTAGAATCAAACCTATATTTTTAGGACCATTTTTATCTAATGATTGACTTACTAAAATTTGAGCACTTCCTCATATCTTTTTAACACATTTGTGAACGCAACCATTCATGTGTGTTAGAACTACACAATGTAAATGTTATTTCTCATCTTAAATAACTTCCCTACCTGTTGTGTGACCCTTTCATGACAGTTATATGGGAAATCTACATCCATTAAGAATAATTTATCTCATATAGTTAAGGTATTGGCTACAAAAGATTACCAGAAATAGTTATCCCTTGAAGGAGTTTACATAGCATTCATATTGTTCTACCTGCTAGTAAGGCAGGGAAGGAAAACCTTCAAAATGACTTGTCTGTGCTCCTCGGTTTACACATTGCTTGCACCAATTGTCTCCAGCAGTATAACCATAGACACTCACGGCTCAGAACATTTGTATTTTTTGTTTGGGGGATATTTGAAATATTAAAAAGTTTGTTATGGAACTCTGATGGCCTGGTGGCAAGAAGCTGCACTGCAATGACAAAAAGGTTTATTGTACAGTTTCTCTTGCTTATGGCCTAGTGGCAAGAAGCTGCGCTGCAATTCCAAAGGCATGTGGTTCAAGGCCCCCACATGCTCCACAGAAGAAGGATGGGCAGTCTCCTCCTGTGCAATTAACTGCTTCTGAAAACCTGACAGAGGGTCAGCCATGGGTCAGTTCCAGCTCTACAGTCCACAACAACAAACAACACAATTTTAAAAATCAAGAGCTTTCTGCCATGGGCATCAAAAGAAGACTAATTTTGACTAGTATATTTTGGATTTTTCATATATATTTTTTAAAAAAAAGAAAAGTTTTTCTAAAAGAAAAGTTACCCCCTAAAAGTAAAATTGTAAACAAACAAGAAGAGGATATTTATATTTTTACTCATCATTTTCTCTAAAGCCCATTCCAGTTTTAAATATGGCCATCATTGGTGCTTTTTCCCCCCTTGGATAATTGTTGTTGAATATCATTGAGTTGGAAGAGAGTCAAAGCTGACCTTCCCGTGAGTTTTGTGGAAGTTGTAAATCTCATAGGAAAAGATTGCCTGTCTCCTGTAGAGTGGCTAGTGGATTTGAACCACATATCTTTGAGTTGGCAGTGCAATTTCTTAGCAATAGACCTCTTGAGCCCACTTGATTAAATAAGACTACAGTGTGCCTGATACAGGCCATGGTCTTTGCAATCCCTTGCTGTGCATCAGAGAAATGGACAATGATTAGGGAGGATAGAAGGAGAACTGATGTTTTTGAGCTGTGGTGTTAGAGAAGAATATTGAATATACCATGGACTGCTAGGAAAATTAACAGGTTCATCCTGGAGTGGGTTATACCAGGCTGCACCTTGGAGGCAAGGATTCTGAAGCTTCATCTGACATACTTTGGACATGTTTCAGGGAGGGACCAGTCCTTGGAGAGGGACAACATGCTTGAGAGGGTGGAGGGACAGCACAGGAGAGAATGACCCTCTATGAGGTGGATTGATTCTATTACTGGGGTTATGGGGGTAGATATGTCAGAAACAGTGAGATTGGTACAGACAGAGCAAGGTTTAGGGCTGTTGTACATAGAATCACTATGAGTCGCAGGCAACTTGACAGCACATAACAACAACAACAACATAATTTATGAAAGCAAAACACACCATAGTTTCTTGGATTTTTATTATTTTGAAGCAGTATTCTGATCACTGATTAATTAATACAAAGGAAAATCTTTTATCCTATCGTAATTGAATAATGCACAGAAATTTTCCAATGTATCTCCAGGCATTTTTATCAGAACATAATTTGACATTAATTCCTCCCCTGCCCCCCCCACCAGACTGACTACATGATACTTTGAATTACTTATCTGCAATAGTATTAATAGGATAACAGTAATTAAGAGCAAACAGTTTCTATTTTCACTGGAATTTTAATACCTAATATAATGCCAGTGCTTCTCAAACCTATT